GGTTGACATCATTGGTTGGGTTTTTTGGGTGATCATGTAATAAAAAAAAAGCAGAAGAGAGAACAAGGAATTCAAATTTTTGCTATGAAATTTACAGACATTCCCAGAATTTATGATTCAGTCATTACATAGATACTGTTATAAAAGGAAACACTGTATAGTATTGTAAAGTTCTGATGACCTGTTGAGGAGATATTTAAAATACCATTTCAATGAATAATCTGAGCCATCCATACATATGCAGTGCTACTGCCTGCCTAATGATGCTAAAATCCAAGATTCAATTCCTCCTGGTGGATACAGTGCTGATAGCCCATTGTTGACCTTTGCACTTCACAACAGACAAACTCAAAATAATTATTTATGCAACTATATTGTTATTTAATACATAATTTTCCTCGTCTTTTTTTCACATATGCTCTCACTTTAAATAATTGTAACTTAGTAAAGGGGAACGTCTAATAGGGAAAAAACTAAAGAATTGAAATATTAATGTTTGTCTTTCCAAAAAAGGAAAAACATTGCTAAACAAGAAAAAATGAAATATTGTTAGTTGGAGGGTTCTTGATATATTGCTATTTGTAGGTTGTAACCCATCTGTCCTGATGAATTCTTATTGGGGAAATGGTCTTATCAACAGTGGTAAACAGTCTTCTCAAGAACATTGATTGGAATCTTCTGTTGTCTTGCTATTTATAGGTTGTGACCCTGGTTTGATTAGTTCGTGAGAAAACTGTCTCATCAGCCGATAAAGTGTAGCCAAAATGCTGTTAAACATTATTCTACTGGAAACTACTATTGGGCCACTGAATAAACAAGACGTAATTAAAATTATCTGTCTTATTATCATCCAAAAATCACTCTACAAAGTTAATGTACAGTTCAAACTAATTTTTTATAGATAATTTACAGTAAGAAATGTCTAGTTTTAGTTTTTTTCTTTTTAAAGATAAATATATAGCAATTATTTTTTCATAGATTATTTCCACCTGTAACGTACAGGTTTAGTGGTTCTGTTTTCCTTTTTCCATACATTATTAGGTAGACAATGTCTAGTTTTTACTCAGTTGATCTTGGGCGTTTTTTTCTTACGTTATTACGTAGTAGATAACATACAGTTTTAGTTTCCGTTGGTTTTCAATTTGTACATTATTACATAGATTACGTCTAGTTTTACTTAGTTGATCTTGGGCGTTTTTTTCTTACGTTATTACGTAGGAGATGACGTACAGG